ATCACGTTGCAAAGATATCGTAATAAAATATCCATTTCGCGGAAACAAAGTCGCACGAGATCTTAAACAGGAATGCTGAACTATGCTACACTATGATCGCATACTAATTCACTTTTACCTGAAAATTTACAATGCCGGAAGAGTAGGTATGTCTGGTGCCTAGGGGGAGGAGGAAACGCTCGTGTCCGCGTAAGAAAGACACGTGGTACTAACAGATCGTATCGCAAATAATTCTTGCGATCATTTCGCGTTAAGACAACCGCAAGAAACGGAACACTGAGCCACGAACGCGTGCAATTTCTTTTCGCGCGGACCACGCGTAATTGCGAGCGTTTTGCGATCGTTGGCTGAGTGTACTTGACACTGATTATACTGCTTGTATTCCCGCAGCTGCGGACCTACAGTTTTGTTTTTTTTTCTCGCCGTTGTTTAAAAACAACCAACAGTGTGTCCTTTCCATTCCGCTTCTTTGTGACGGCGACATGGATTTCATGTATAACTCCGAACAGTTTCCAAAAAAAATAGGATGTGGGATTTCACTTATGGTAATGTAAATGTTATCGTTATGCTGCCATATTTCAGAAAATATTTAATTCATGAATTGCAGTCTAATAACGGTATCGTTCTGCGCGATTTCAGAAAGCCACGGAACAGTAGCGATCGCTCTATGCATTATTCATGGTCATTTGTAATTAGTAAACTCCAGATGTTTATGCTGATTCCATGTTTCGGAGATGTACCATTTCACCGAGAATCTGGGTCATCGAAAAATTCGTTTCAACAATCGGGTCGTTCTTTCTTCTTTTCGCTGAGAAAAAGGTGGATCTGCGATCTCGATGGACCAAGGGTTGACGTTTTAGCAACCAATGTGATAGAATCTACTCTTCTTCAGAACGGTCACTAAGTTGCTCAACGGGGACTTCAATCGTTCTAGTTTTAATGTTATTCTGAAATTGTATTTTGTTACCTAGAGAATTGTAGTAGTTGCAAGAAATGAGATTGCAAATGCAATTTTTTAGGTCATTGCCTATATCGTAAGTCGTAGCTAATCGGGTATTTAATAGCATTCTTAGTAAATCGCTACCGTGAATGAAAGTTGGATATTATAAGTCGCTGCTCAGAATTTCGTAAACAGCTAGTTGACATTTAGTTTAACACCGACGTGATCGGCAGGAACTAAGTGTTGTGTGTACACCAGCAGGTGGTACTCAGGAACCTATATTTTATATTCATTGAATACAATCGTGAACCAAATACATCATTTTATCGTTAACCATAATGGAATAATACAACTAGATAGTGACGAGAGTCGCAAAATAGAATACAACCTCGATTATACATATGAGTCTTTTTTTTTTAAAGTGATATACCTAATTGTAAGCCCAATTCTGAAAAAAAAATGAGTTAGAACTGTCTTCTTTTTATATTCAGAAGAACAAAGTCACTACAGTACAATATTCTCATAAAATTAGTTAAATGAAGTTTGGCTGATAAATGGAATTTTATAAATATTTTCTATGAAATTGGTACATGTCCATCATTCCACCATTCATAGTAGATGACTTTAAAGCTTGCTATAAAATGAGTAGTGGGAAAAACAGAACATGCAGTAACACGTAAAAATGATTTTTCTGAAATTTGAAATACCTTGTTTCAAGACAGTAATTGTTCTTGCTCACTCGTGTCTCATACATTGGAATCGAATGATAGTTCAGACAGTGTCTCAATACACGAGGAGGCAAAAAATGAATGACTGAAAGTGAAAAACCAGGGATCAATAGAGAAAGTTCTGGAAGCAGAGGTACATTATGTCACTGCACGCGATCGTTAAATGGCGTTTACAAGTTCATTCACGAAATTACATGTTACCGGTATTCAGGGCGAAATAAGTATACTTATACTCGCAACTGTGTTCCAACAGTTGTGAAAAGTGTTGGGTAACGTGTAATTGTTCATTCGCATTCAGCAGGGGTTGAAAACTGTTATAATATCGATTTCGGTTCTTCAAACAGTTTCAAAGAACCGATATTTCTATTGGTCTATGGTTAAAAAAAGTCAAAGTGACCTTGAAAAAAAAGTACGTACCTTATAAGATGTACCCCTTGATGCCATTTAAGTTCCACGCCTCAACATTTTCATAAAGTGTACTGTAAAGTGTACCTGAGACACCCTCTATTTCACCAAACTCTGTAGGCTATAAATACGTAAATGTATAAAATCCGCAGTCTAATCATGATATAATTGTTATAATAGTTTAAAATTATTAATGTGTTATTTCTTCATATTAGAGCTTCTGAACTTGGAAAATTGGATAGACTTATAGTTTATTACTTCCTTCTGTTAGATCGGTATCTCAACAGTAATGATTCTTATTGGAAGGAACCACAATTTTTAAATAGTTTAAATCACGTTCCATTTTACAAAATCATAATTTGTGATAATATAAAACATAAAAAATGAAAACGAATTTTCTAACAAATAATAAAAAAAACTGTGGTATTTAAGAAAGATATATTCGTACATTTTGTAGAAAGTACGTTTCGGAAATGTGTAATATGTACATATAAAGTTGCAAAAGGCTTCAAAAAATTAATGGTCGACGATATCAAGGAACCGAGAGAAAGTTGAGAAAGAGTAGGGCAATTATCTGAACAATAACATTTACGTAATACTGAGACTAAATAGTAACTGGCCGGTAGTATGTCAACCGTATTTTTTTTAATTAATAGCATAGAGTGAGCCGTGTAACCACAAGTTGGCATAACAATTAAAAATCATGATACATTGTACAGTAATTATTACTACCGTTAATTACCTGCACTCGCTGTTGTTGAAAAAATTAAAAGAATAGATCATCAAGAATGATCTCTAGCGACGAAGAAACTGTAATTTATAAATGGTTTTTAACATTTGAAAAGGTTTCCATTTAAGTTTTGTCTTCAACATTTCCTTTATTTTCTAATTGTAACAGCACAATATAATCGACTCACTTTTCAATTGAATTCGTCAAAAAGATGATCGTATTGAACGGCATAAGTACAATTAATCCTAATCATGTACAAAACGTACAACAGTATTACCCTCTTCTTAAAAACTAATCAGTCAAACTCCATATTCTAACAGTACATAAAACCACTCGTAACCATGTAAGACGACTTTGAACGCCGAGTGGAGTTTAATTAAAACTATATTTCGAGCTCGAACAAACGAGAAAATGATATCGTGAGCCAATCAAATTCTCCAACAAATTCTACAACTGAATAGAAATCTGTCGTCGAGAGCATTTCCTTGTATTAATCGCTATTAAACAGCTCTTGTGTACCAACTGGAATGAAAAACTACACAGTATTTTAAATCGTTACTGAATTTCACTGAAACCTTAAACGAATATTTATACCAATGAAAATGTAATGTTTCAATACAGCCATAACATTAATTTTAGAAAAGAAAATGTTAAATTAAATGTGGAAGTCTTCGTAACACGATGTAATTATGACCATATTTTCTGTTATTAATTGGTTGATTTTTATGGTCTTTCTACGTTTGCTGTAAATAAATTACTTTCCACATATAAAAATATATAAATCGTATATATTGCTTCTTTTCGAAATCGTAAATTTCGCATCATTCGTTCTTCGTATTCACATACAACACTTCTTCATCCGACATATCGTTACAAAATCTTACAATATCGATTATTTTCCTTGAACACATTCACACAGATGTACTTGCCTTTTTTCACACAATAAAATCGGAACTTTGTGTTCAAATGTACTACATCAAACCATCGCGGTTTCATACTGTGTTTCATCTTTGCAATACGGTTAATTTGCCGAATGATAAATTACTCTGGTGCTTGATTCCATTAGGTATGTAAATCAAAAGAGTAATTTAAAAATCGGTCCAACGAAAAACGCACTGTTTGACTGTACTTCGAAGAATTCAACCGTCTGAAATTTAATTCAAATTGCTCTGTATTTATGTATATGTTTTATAATGTGAAGTGTTGTTGAAGTTTGTGAAGTTTTATAATCTGAACCGTTTAAACTTGTTTCTCAAGACAATGGACTCTTCGCTCATTTAATAACGACTTAATAATTTATAAGACCTTCACATTCAGGTAAGCTAGCAATACGCAGAACATTATTTCGTAACAAAAAAAAAATTATTAGACTGTGAAACGCTCGGCAAACACGAACACTATTATCTACTACACATTCTATCGATCCTCCAAGACATCATGTAGCTCCTATCTACGAAAATAAACTCGCTTATCTGCTCTCCAAAATATTGAATGAAATCACAAATAACTTCCGCCATAAATATTGAACATTCGCTAAATGATCGTTATAGGTTAATGGAAATTATCTACGACTGAAAACAAAAAAGACGAAAAAAACTAAAAACGAAATACACCTTCAAAGAGACAAATAATAGAACGACTACACAGTAAATAAGAACTAATTTCTTCTCGGACAGCATGATGTGACATGGAAGATTCGGTTAAGAAACGTTACCGATCATATAATTCGATGTCACCGACGTGTAAGATCTCAGATTCCTTTCTCGTGTATGTACACTCGTGATCAAACTCGGCTTTCGCTAGGGAAAAAAGCGACGTAAGGATAGGGCCTTCTACCATTCGGTTTCGGAAGTTTCTGAAATTTATAGCAAATTAACATGCATTTTAACATTCATTTCAGTACTTGAAATAAATTTACTAAGTAGTAAGAAATTCTACGCCACTTTTTCCCCTAGTGGAAGCCGAATTTGCTCGCGAGTGTACACACCTGCGGCAAAGATCGACGAGTCTGTCTCACAATGTTCCTACCCTACTCTAAAATAAAACCTTCTGAATACATATAATAGTCCCTTGCGGAACTAGTTTCTTCCCCTGCGTTTTGTTCGCCTATTCCGCGATCGAGTGCGGCACGCGGTGTCGCCTCCCGTCGCGTGCCCGTTTAATCGACTAGTCACGTTTTTCTGGATGCACCTTTATCATTTTTTTATTTTTTTTTTATTCTCTGAACTGCGTCCAGTGCACGCCATTTTCCATTGAATTCCCCATTCATCGTGCCCGTTCCGTGTACACACGCGGCTCCAATTAGTGCCTGGATTCGCTGTCTCTGTTCACACAAAACGACACGCCTAAGACCCCGAAGAGTCTTCTAGTCGATCGTCACCGTTCTCCGATCTATCCGGTGTTCGATCGTCGTAAGTAGCGCGGCCCCCGTGTCACGGCCGTTCCTGCGACTCGGGCAAATCGATGGCGGCAATGTGACCAGCCAATTATAGGGGGAAGTTCAACGATACGCCTTGGCCCTCTCCGCCCAGGCGAACAGATCTACGCTCGGGATGGCCTCGAAGTCTGTGCAAGATCTCAACTCATTCCTACGAGATACGATCATTGATTTATTTATGAGAAGTTTTTAACACCACCTTGGACACAACGTTAGCCCTTTCGTTACTATGACAGTTCACAGTCGCTTGCCAGGAGGCAAGCTCTACAAAGTGGGCCAGAAAAAAAATTTACCAGTTCAGACGCTTGTTAGCTCGAACGATTGAAAATGTACAAGCTTATAATTTTATGTAAATTGAAAGGTGTAAATCAAGCGATTTTGATCGATTTTAGCCTCATCATTCATTAATAGTTTCTCAGTATCGTCATTGAAGTATGAGTTTTTAGGGTTTCTTTTTATATTTTTGACAATGTTCTATGGTTGATTGTATGCGACTTGAGTTTCTTGAAAAATAAATTTGTTTTTGACCACCAAGCTGCTAAATTTTTTTGGTAACGCTTTAAAACACACATTCGGTCCAGTTCGTAATAAATATGACCGTAACAAAAGGGCTAAGTGGTAACTTGTGACTATTTTCTCGAATGTGGATGATTTTTTTGTTGTTATATTTTAAACTTCAGAAGGCAATAGAAGATGCGAGTAACGACGAAGGGAAAAACAGCAATGCGTGGAGGAGGTAAAGGCAAGTGATAGGCGAAGAGAAGGTTGATACTTAAGTGAAATTATTAGAGTGAAAGCCTAAAAATAACTGGGATTGATGAAGGAATAAGTATTTAATAAAGTGAATTAAGTGGAAGGTCACAAAATAGTAACTTACCCTGCTTGTGGTTTAAGGAAAACATTTGGCTGCATGTGTGTAATGTCGTTGCCATTGTCACAGAATAGTCTTGCCAATGTCACATTCCGGATTTCGGCCAATTGTTCTGCAACAGATATTAAAGAAATTAGAAAAATTAATTTTCCTCTTATACGAAACGGAACCAAAATGATGTAGTAAACATATATTTTTATATTGACAAATAAACATATAAATGGAATATGGACTGAAGAAAAATATTAATAATGAAGCGAGTGACGGGCAAAGAGAAACTTCTGTTTTTTCACAATACATATAAATCATTTCATTGTTCTATGTAACTATGGTACACAGATGTATTCCTATTATTATTGCTACTAATTAGAAAAAATTTATACAAATAAATAATATAAGAAATTGAAGTTAAATCTTGTAGGGATTGTAAAAGATACGATTTCTTACCAGGAGTGAATGGGTACGGTTGATAAGCAGAATCATAAAAGTATCTATCAGTGCGGCGAGTTCTTGCAAACTGTTCAGAGATCAAGCAGCTGAACGTAGGACCCAATAAACTATCCTCTACTGGTCTTTCAAGCATGCCACCAATAATAAGATCAACGTCGTCAGGATGAGCGTAAATTGTGCGTAATTTCTTCAGCATCTATTCACAGAAAATACAATATAAATAATGATATTCGTAATTATATTATTTTTATTAAGATATCCTATCTACCAAAAACTATTAAAATTCTATTGACCAATTGTCGAAAACAAAACTAATAATGTGAACATTAAAAAAAATCTGGAGCATTGTAGTACAGAGTATATTTATAAATTATTTAAAATCTTGTATCGTTAACATATTCACCTCCAATGGAATGTGATCTAAAAAGTCGTCGAAATTCTGCGCAGCTGGAAGGCCACAGTATTTACGGTACTCATTGTAGCCAGGTAAACCGTGGTCACGACCACGCTGAATATCCAAACTAATTATGTCCAAACCTAGGCTGTCTCGACTTGTTGCATATAATTTGCTTGTTATCTGTCAAATATAGATAATTGTCGTTTTACATTAACAAATCTAATAATGTGATTTACCATAGAATATATATATACATATATATGTATATACATATATTAACGTATCCTCAAAAGCAAACGCGTAGTACACTTACCTCTGAAATTATGTTCATGTCCATTTTCTGGCTTGTCTGAGTAGCCATACCCCGAAGTAATCCGTCGAAAATTTCGTCCGACTCGATGACAGTCGGATTGAAGAAATACTCCACTAATGAGAGCGTGTTGTTTATTTGACGTGAGTTGCCTGTCAAGCTAACAGAAGGAAAATAGAAATGTCAGAGGGGAAATAAAATTTTTGTATGAAAATAGGTATAACAAATATTGTATTCATTAAATTAAAATAAATTTTGGTAATATGATTGCGTTTTATTGAAATATATAATATTGTTATGATCGTTGTTTTATTGAAATAAAATAAATATCGTAGTTTACCTTAACTTTCCTTGCATCAAGGAAGTCAAGAAACGCAGAGCTGCTGTTGCGACCTCGTTACTGACTGCTGGATCATCCGCAGCATCGTAGTTACGACTGTAACTATCTCCAACGGTGAGGCCGACAGCTCGAGTGTATCTTTTGCCCAGTAATATGGGCATCCACTCTTTGTAAGTGATATGCTGAATTTCAGCAATTACTATACGCCTAGCTTCCTGGTACAGTGTCTCGTCCGACCAGTTGGGATTCAATTCACCAAGTTTGTCAGCGATTCTGTTGTGCTCCCGGTGCCAAACGGTATGTATTGCAGCCAGTTGCGGGTTGGCATTTACGCGATGATCGCCTGTAAAAATAGAATTATTCATGGAACAATTACAGAAGTAATTGAAGTTTTAATGGATAAAGAAATGTATAACCACAATTAAGCGGGTGTCTGTAAAATGTAAATTAAGGCGTTAAAAATAGGTTAATACTGTTCTTAGTTATAATCCATAATACACGATTGATATCTCGTATAATTTTCTAGAAGTTCAACTACAGTTTAAAAAAAATTCCAGTTGAAAATATTAAATTATTATCAATTTGAAACATAAATTTGAATATAATCGATAATATATCTATTTCAGAATTTGCAAAAAGAGATCATTTTTAAAAACTATTAAAAAATATTAATTATTACCAGAATTGTAACAGCTTCTTGTGCATTCAGACCAAATTTCAAAGCTCCCAACAGATAAGTACTCGTGACTGTTCTTCTTATGAACTCGTAAACGACCTCCTTCAAATGTACGGAGCTCGCGAGATTTCTTCAAAGTAGAACTGTAGATCATCGAACCGTCCAAAAAGTGGCTAGCCTGGTTCATCTGTGAATTGAATACAACAGTCGGATGGTGAGATATTAATTTTATAATTATATGTCTTTATCATCTGCTAAAATTGCTAAGTATGACCATAGTTTCATTGATAGTAACTAAAATACAGACCACACCTTAGTCGAACGAATAATTATAAATAAATTTATAACATACTGTTTCTGATACAAAAGTCTGCAAATTTGAAATTGAACTTGAATTCTTCTTAAATTATAAGTCTTTCAAGACAAAAAATAATAAATACTTTGTCTATACTTTTTTTAACAAACTTATCCACCATTTCTGTCACTATTCCTTCGCATCTAAATTTTTCTAATTTTTTGTTCTACTTATGAATGACACATGACAATTTTATATGCTTGAAAAAATGAAAATAATTATTTTTAAATACCCAATTTAGTATAGACATTACTGCATACCAAAGTAATCAAACTTTAGAGAATTAAACACAAATCACAAGCTCAGAAGTCGGTCACAATGGTAAATAATAGCGAATATTGCAAGAAAGTTGATTAACCTGTTCCACGGGTCCAAATGTACACTCTGGTCTGAGGACAGGTAACGATCGCACGTAGTTCATGCATCGGACATAGTGCTTGCCATAAACGGGATCCTGGTCAGGTACCGTAATTACAGCACAGTCAGGGTGAATGTGTCGAGGAGACAAAGTGTTTCCGTCTGATCGACAGCACGAAATTGGCTTTCCCGTTGACACTATAAAAAATGATGAAACAACGAATTGATTATTATTTATCATTCTCTCATGTACTCTAGATTAAGGTGACTTAAGGTCGTGTCAGATTCGGTTGGCACACATTTGAAAATTTCAGGCAGTCTGGAATTATATTTTTCTAGACTGTCTCAAACTTCGTATAATAGACTCTATGCAGGACCAAAGGCCCAAACACTTACTCATTTTCCTTACTGGTGTATGAGAGATATCGTTCGCAATGAACTGGCCCCATTGCATTACCGACAACGTTCTCCTGGTATCCGGGAAATCATTAGCAGACGACAGAGCCACGCTTACACTCCTAGCACCTGGTAGCGGCTTTTTCGTTTGTCCCATATGCCTCAGCTCTTGAATTCCTGGTCGCGAAAGGATGCATTAGAAACTGACACTCTAACACGGTTCTACATCGTCAAATCGGAGTAAATCTGTGCTATGCTCTACGCCAAAAAAACAAGAATTGAAGTTGACAATGAAAGTGACTCACAAAAGTATCCTCACATCATTCACAAAACAATATATTACTTATTTAATTGATGTTCAAGTTAGGAATACTAATTACAATTTGTATTGGTGTGATCCTTGATTAACAATACAACCACAATGACGTCACGCATAATACCTCAGTTGAATGCAACCCAATCAAAAATATATTAAAATTCTATATGATATCAAAGTATATGTATAAAAAGTACATAAAAGTATATTGTATTAATTATCATATTAATATTTACACCAATATCAATTACAATTGTCACTTCTCACTAACATTACCTGAATATGCAAAATACGTTCTACGTAAGGATCGAGCGGCACTTCTGTGAATAACTGTATTTAAATAAGACTCGTCAGATGAATTTCGTTATCGTTCTTGCAATCCTGATCGCTGTATTCTTCAATGTTAAATAATGTACAAACAGAGATGGGAAAAGTTAGACTCCGATTACTCCGATTTCCACGAGATCTGGGTTGTGTGCGTGTAAACATGTCCGTGCAGCGCGAGAGCGAGCAATTTTTGCGTCTCTGACCGCGAAAATGGCTTGGAATCGTGGTTGTATCCCTGTCCAAATCTCGAGCCTAAACTCCGCCTAAACCTGCTTCGATTCGCAACGGCGCATCAGAGACCAATCAGTGAATTTGATCGATCCTGACGGCATTTCCCAACGATCCGTAAATGGCTGATTGATCCCTGGATCGGTCGGCAAACGGTGGCTCTCGCGCTGCATCGCAAACGTACGAAAAATACTTTGTTCTACTTCGACATGACGTTCTGATGCGTTATCGACGAAACGTACGCGGTTCGAGAACGCGTGTACGTACATATTTACTTTCGAAACGGTTCTCAAATCGGACTCGCGAAGCGAACACATTCGCAGCATATTTTTGATCATTGCTGAAACGATCACGTCGAGAACGCTCGCAGAAGGAATCGAGTGACTTATCTAGATGGCTGATGAAGGTGCCCAAGCGAGAGAATCAAACTTGGAGATGACTGTCATAGTTTATATTACTCTACTTTCAATTTCGGTATTGTGTCAGATACAAAATGTTAACCCTTTAACTGGGGAGGTTGTAAAATAAACGTACACAATGCATGGAATTTTTATTTTTTTTCGTTGTCTTTCATATTTCGTGCAAACGTATTACCTGGTATTTCGAAAACATACCGGATGTGTACCGATGGATTAACCACGAAATGGAAACTGAAATCTTCTTATTTTTCACTGCGTTTTCACGGAAGTCTTACCGAAAGATTAATGAGACTTGTCTGATAATAACGAGTACACATGACATTCTTCGAATAATTTTCCATGATACGTAATAGGTATACGGTTATTTTATGGTAATTAGAATTACGTACACTATAAAAAAAAAAGTACTAGTCATCGAGAGAACCCCAACGATCTACTGATAATATCTTCATGAAATAAAGGTGTCTCATAATATGTGAGACTTGTGGAAACTCCGAATTCGTGCGACAACAAGAATTCGCATTTCATCGTCAAAGATTTCGATGATTTCGGACGACTCCGAATTTCAATTCGTCTGGCTAGGACACCTTTAACGAGACCCGTATACCGCAATCAACAGAAAAATAGTTCAACTAGTGTTACAATAATAAATATGATACATTATTAGGTATATCCGAATTAGTTTTACATACACATTCTACTGCTGGATAGAGAATCTCCCGACCGGGGCACCCTATTGTAGGCAGTATTATTCACTGCTACACTCAGGCATATTATGCTCTATGTGCCTTTATCGCACAATAACTGTAATGCAAATCACAGAATATATTTCGTTAGGCCAATCGACGAGCGATTTTTTCGTTTCATCCATCAGCGCCCAGGGATCAGAGTGTGTTCGTTTTTTCTACGTATACATACAGGGTGTAACAAAAATGTTAGAGAATCCGGAAATAGGAGACTCGTGAAGTGATTTTGAAACAAGTTTTTCCTTAGCAAAAATGTTGTTCAAGGCTTTAGTAACGAGACATTAACGAAAAACGCCGACCAATCAGAGCTCGGCCGACAGACTCGCGCTGTGATTGATCGGGGTTTTTCGTTAATATCTCGTTAATAAAGCCTCGGATAAAATTTTTGATAAGGAAAAACTTGTTTCAAATCATCTCACGAGTCTCCCATTTTCGGGTCCTCCAATATTTTTGTTACAACCTGTATACAGTTCACGCTTTGCGTCGACTATGTATCGTGTGCTACGTGTGTCTATGGATGACTATGCGTGTGCGTGTATGTGTATGTACGTGTGAGAACAAATGATTGCAAAGGTGTCGAGATGGTGAGCGGATTAGACGGGTTAGTGGGTCGAGGTTGGTGGCTCGTGTAGAATCGCACGCTGAAACGCGACGATTTCGAGTTTATGGATCGGGGAAAACATGACTGAACCACTGAAAATCTGGTAAAAAAAACGGCCGACAACTGGGAAAAAATGAAAGTCTGAATGGTCCAGAGAGAGAAAACGAAATTAACGTGTCGAATCGTCCGACTTTGTATTATGCAGAGAACTTGTTTCGACAGAAGAAGGAGTGAACGATTCTGTAATATGTACTTGAAAAACATGCGAAATTTGGTTCCTGACCGGTCGAGAATTATGTAAATGAAGTTGAGTGAAATGTACGAGGTGTCCTGGTTTCTTTTAACTGCACTTTACAGTCTGCTGGTGTAGATTCACACCTGGTGAATAGACTGCGTTTATACGTTCGAAATAACAATTAGGCGTATCAATTTATATGTACGTATTCCACAGCTATGTGTCTCTGTAAAAGTTTTACTGACGACAATTGCTCTCAAGAATTTTCGAATGGACAGATTTGACAGCAACTCTTCAACACCTTGTACTTCAATAGCTAAAGCTTCTACTCTCACGACTAAAACCAATTTACTCAGGGATCAATTCTTAAGTGGGACTAACCACAAGAGCGCCTCTCGATATCTACTCTCACGTGTATACCGTAGCATAAGCTTTACTCTAATCCTCCAATCTAGCACTCTAGTTGCAACAAATTGATACGCCAGTTTGAACTCATCCAGGATACCTTGCACGTGTGTCAGAGTCAGGGACGAATAAATCACAATCTCATCGACAACTTAAATCATCATGGAAAATATGTCTACAGCACCGAATAAAAATTAGATATTGTATCACGACACGTGTCGCCCATCTGGGGATATCTCATTTCTGCAGGAGAAGGTCGCATCAGAGATAAAGTATTTGCACAAGGTGCAATCAGAAGATATCGTCGGGAATAGCTAGCCATACAGCAGCATTCTTTCCACGAGGAAAGTAAAATCCATTCGGAAACAAAGGTAATTACTGGAATATCATTTCACTAATCATTACTTGTAATATCGTCCACGAATGCGAAATAAAAGAATGCTTCATTAGTGACAACCGAAATGTTCCTTGTCGCCTTAAGATTTGCTTCAGTTTTTCTTTTAGAAATGAATATCTGAAATACAAGGCGATCGATAAAAGTAGTTTCTAAAGTGTTACTGGACCCATGCGTGAATAACGTGTCTTTATGTAATTCGTTTAACAAAGTTCAGTATCACTGTATGGACTTCGATTAAGAAGTCACCGTTCAGTCTACTTGTATCTTGTTTTTTGTCTTTTAAATAATAATTTGTTAGTGATGCCCAGAACATCAATAGATTTAATTTTACCAGAGCACCAATTGTTCGACGTCTGACGAATCGTCCTAGAAATGAATAATCCGACTACGACTGCTTGGCCAAATTTTTGATAACCAACCGAACGTTATTGTTCGTTACTGTTATGGAAAATATTGTGCCACTTACAGTCAACTGAAGGTACTGAAAAGCTAGAACCAAAATTGTCTGCTGTGATGGTGTAATAAAAATTCCGACGAGTCGTCTGTAATCAAGGATTGTCTTTCCGCGCGAAAAGGAAGCTGATGTATGGCTAGCTAATGTCCTGTGTGGACGTCGGCCGTTGGATGATCGGGCGAGAACCATGACTCGAATGAGCCCGAAAATTCCGACAAACGAGAGACAGACATAGAACAAGTGCCAGAGAAGAGAAGAATCAGGACGGATTCCCGGGAAGAGGAAAGGGAAGCGCCAGGCGTTCAGAGGCTGCAAATAATTGTACGATTATTATTCCACACAAATAACGATAGCACAGTTGCACGGTTAGGCTGGTGTATCCGCGGGCTTCTCTATTCTTTCACTCGTTCGAACGCCCGGACAGAAAGTAGCCAATCGTGAATCTGGAGGTACGTCATCGCGGATAAACCGATCGCGTCAGGTGATCGACGATATAACCATCGTTCCAGGTGATCGATGATATAGTTCTTCAGCGTGCCCGGGGGGGGGGGGGTAGGAAGACGGTCTAACGATCGAGGATCGGTTGAACGCGTTGATCACAAGCTCGCGGAAAACGGGGCCGTGGGTTTTCATGTTTGGTTGGCAATCACACGGCAGGGTGGATTCTTACCATCAAAATACTGGGGGAAGAGAATTCTGGTGTACGCGGTCATCGCACTACCCCAGGTTGGGTTATCGACGTTATTGCAACTGCCGTCGATGCTACGATACTTCGCCCTGGCGTTGCAGATCGTGACCTGGGATGTCGAGCAAGCAGATCCCAACGGTGTGCCCTGGAGCGACAGCGTTGATATGAAACGCGCACAATCGTCCTTCTGGAGACCGAATCTGTAAGAGATATAATGGTTACTTCGAATTTTGCTGAAGATGCTGTGGGACATATGCGAATTATGGGCTAGGATACTCTGATTTTTGGACGAAGCTGGATTCAAAATATAGATTGAAGAGAAAATTATGTGGTAGAATATTATTGATATATCGGTATTTGATAATATCAGTCGATGTGATAGCTTAGGTTTCAGTGTCGTAGAGAACTATGTGCATAGTTCGATTATGAATCTTGCAACTTTCATATTTTCTCCTGTGTAACATTTCGATTGAAGGTTGAATTACTTCTTTTTAGAGTAATTGATACTCCAACACACACGTGTAACATTCTCTATTTAACTGAAAATCGTTTCTTTCGTTTAATTTTAACTATGGTTGTGATTATTTTCTTAACAACATTGTAAGTACTGTACAGTAACACTGTCCAATAAAGATGAACTCTTTTCCTAAAAAAAATATTATATTTATTACCCAGAAATTATATTTTAAACCCAGTTCAATCCAGAAAACATTTTCCCGGTGGTAGATTTGCTAATCGAGAAGTAAAAGACACAATTTCTTTGAAAATTTACGGTATAACAATTATTAAGAAGTAGATGAGCAAGGATCTCGTATATTATACATAATTTGTTTTAATCTCTGCTTCCTAAAGTCACATGCTTGTTAAATAAGTGACTGAAAACGAATAATTTTGAGCAGTTCCCACTAAATCAGAATAGAATAACAAATAATGTTTACTTTTACTCGCTTATATACGATGTAAGCGACTTGGAATATGTACCTCAAAAACATGGTAACTCAGATTCTTAAAGCGTATATTTAACAAATTATTGAAATTATTCAAAGCCCCAAAATTTCGATTATCATCTCCCGTAGTTTCATGTTAAAACATAGCACAAAAATAGTGATTTGCAGTCACAGAATTCTCCTTGAATAATCAATTTTACTATAATATTTTGTTTAGTACGTTACTTTAGTATTTAATACAGGCCTGTCCAACATGTCACCCGCGGACCAAATCGATCCACATTTTTGCAAACAACTGCAAAATACACGTTTCTCTAATTGTTCCGAGCAATGTACAAGTTCGTCGAATGGTGCCAATTGTATCATGCTGAACGCACACATTGGGTTCGTCGTTCGCAAAGAGTTAAGAGGGCTAACAAGAATTGACTTGGTACCTTCTGGGCCTGAGAGGCCTGCATTACCTGCGACAGCTCTGGTGGAGGAGATAGGACGAGGCTTTCATCGCCACAATGGCACCAAGGCCTCTCTCAAAAGCATCCTCGGAAGGATAAGAATCAAGGAATTGCTTTCCAGCCGGTGTGTGAGCCTGCAATTCAATGCCAGCGTTCACGATATTCCTTTCGAGGGTGCTCATACGATCGACCAAGCTTTGCGCGAAACTGATTGAGTTGTTCAAGATCGTCTCGTCAATGTGAGGGAAACGCCGATTTTGGAAATGACCCGTGTCTACGACGACCTCATAGGGATAGTTCGACATCGGCAAACCTGAAAGGATACCTTTGAAAACGTCGGTACAATTGTACTCCGATGGTGTGAACAGGTCGAGAAGGGTTTTGTGACGGAGAAAAAGAGAACAGTGTGCATCTGTTCTTGTGTTCTTTATCTCGGACACTTTTTTCTGGGAATGAAATCGATCCGTATATTGATGCTCAAGGTATTCTATTCATGCTTTGACAATGTTTTCACCTGGAAAACACCCTTTAATTACCACTATAGTTGATATGCTCATTTAATTTAACGAATTTCTTATTAGGAAAAGTAAACTTAAGCACTCCAGTTATTATAATGGTATCCACACATCAATCGCATAACATTTATTATTATACATCTAGCACATAAAATTAATAATTTATCTCTGAACATATTCTTTTTAGTCTTAATCTTTAGCCGTCATGATATAAAAAATCATTTAAAAAGATTATTCATTAGTTTTCTATTCAAAATAAATCAAGATATAATTGACGTTCAGCCAGAGCCAAACATGGTTCAAAATCCTAACATTTGTCTTCTTTGGTGAGTTTTTTTTAATAAAAAAGGAAAACATGAATGGATGGCAATGACCCACTTACCTGTGTAACTGGCAAGGTAGTTCTGTAAGGACAACGGCAACTTGTAGGCTCCGATCGAGTGCGAATTCCCAAGAAACCCCATGGTCTGCAGGGAGATCCAGAGAACCGCTAGAGTAGCCACGGAACCCGCCATTAGACCGCCGGCTGCGCAAAAACAAATGGATCATTCCCTCATTGCTCTCAGTCGTATATAGATGTTTCGTTACACACGATGATTCAACGCGTTAATTTTGCCGCGCCACACGACCGTGTTTATCAAATCGACCAGTGGCTGATTTTTACTCTTTTTCTCTTTTTATTGGGATAAAACTGCGTCGCAATACCCTCGTCGTCTGTTCGATTTTTATGCAAATATACTGTTTATAGTTTAATTTACTGGAACCGGAATCAAATAACAGTTTACTATACTTTACTTAGTATTCTGTCAGGTTCGAATCAAAACAAAAACCTCCTTAACCCTCAAAGACAGGGACGGTGTATTCCATACGCCATCGGTATAGAGAAGTCTTTCTAAATTCTTTTACTCGAAAAATGTTTTTTTTTTCATCCTAGTTATCTACCATTAAAAATAGAAAATTATTAAATTGGAAGATAAACGTAAAGTCTGCTGGTACCTTTTAAGATGACGGAAAAAAAGAATGGTGAATTCATGATCCACGTCCCTGAGGGTTAAACTTCATCAAACTCTCGAACACACTGAGTTCTACATAATTGTGTGTGCTATAAATGCATAACATTCGCAGTCTACTGATATCCCAACCCAAACGAACGACGCAACGAATTCGTTTTTGGCGGAAGTAAGATGTAATCTGACTTGCGGATGCAAACACGACCTACTCAGAGCCGGTGGACCAATGAGGCTGCATGAATTTCATGAATCACCATTGTTGTTATGTGCTTTTATCGCTTCGTTCTCCATATATTTATGTCGAGACCGTCCTCGAGATAATATTCTTTGCGTAGGTACGAAATTCGTCGTTATCACTAGTATCGTATCTAATCGTCAGAATTATTACCCAATTTGTAACATAAATAGACAACAAGCTTTCTTTTCGACATTTTTGAAAAATATAAATACACTATATACACGTGACTCTTATAAAACGTTCAAGGTTTTCAGAACTCTAAGTCATCCACTACTCATGCGGAACTAATAATCATAGAATAAGCAATAAAATTAAATAAAATTCAATACTCCAGTAATTTAGATATCCTGAAACTCGATATCAAAACCATCGAGATATTCGATTTTATTGAACCGTTATCGTCTTTTATTTTTACGATTTCATCGTCTGTCAGTTTCAAATAACTTCAGATATTTCTAAAAATAGAGTATCACAAGCACAAATACTCACATCCTCTCTCTCAGTACAAATCTTGAAAATATTTGATATTTAAACAATGCTTCCAGGCATTTAAAGTCGTGGAAAATTTTCAAGCGACACGCATGTTCACCACAACTTAACAATTTTTATACTGGCACTAATAAAGATATAAACAACGACATTTCCTCCTCTATTTATTACACTATGGATAAAGGTTCTTCAGACAACTCGCAATTAAAGAGACTGTTATCGTTGATGCACAAGCGGTATCAATAAACGTGCTTGTTTGAAGCTCCCTAGATAACTGCGTTTGTTTTCCTGCAATGCGTTCCGTTCCACGTGATTTCTCGACGAACGTCGTCGCATCTTTACTTACAGTTCTGCACACTGACCCCGCCCCCCTCGCCCCTAAAATCCAATTGCGTTTCTTAATCGAAATTTCCATGCTAATGACTGTAAATTTATGGTTTCTTTATGTATAGGTAAACCTGTTAGTCTCTAGTTGCGAGTCGCATATGTGACTGTCAGTTTCAACTTTAGCACGTGGTGTTGGCGAATAGACTGTACTAGGTTGATGTAAACAATTTAGTAGCATCTCAATGTTTTCCATTACAAATATCACGTTGCAGAAAATGAGCATTCAGGCATTACGTTACTTATCAACTGATCTCTATCAATGACTTTTCATTCAAAAATTAAAATTACAGAAGAATTAACACTTCGAGTGCATCGGGGGGTTAACAGACACCATTCCCAAATTTGACCTGAACCATATTTTTTTCAAACATTCTCACTTTAAATCCCATTTTTCTTACTTAAAAAATACTTCTATAACTTTTTCCATAAGTCCACAGTTTAGGAAATATTTTGAGGTTTAAATCACTGTGAGTTACTTGCAAGTGATTCATTCAGTTGAATCTTAATGAAGATTTGAGGAATTAATGTATGAACATCAATTATTTCTTCATCATTTTGCACTTTCTCTGTTTTTCCGGGATGCAGATTAGTTTGACTAATGTTTTTCACTCGGAAAATTGTTTTTCTCCAAGTACAAGGATTTTTCTATTAATACACGACCTTTAGTGTCTACACGCCGTAAATATTACGTAGTTTATCGATAAGATTAACTAAACTAATCGTCACGTTTCGTACATATTTCTCTTCCAACACAACTGACATGAGTCATTCCACGCGTAGTCTTTTCGTAAAGATCAGCACTTTTTGGTGTGCTTTTATATATTAGTGTGCACTTCGATTTATTTTTGTCAAAACAGAAAATACACTCGTTTGTGGTATTCAGTAGAACTCTTTAATATAAGTTCTAACACTACCAACATGATTATAATAAATGAAACATAGATTCTTACGTAATTATAAAAAGTGAAACATAAATTCTAACATTTTATTTTCGGAATAAATAATTGTACACCACTGGATAGAACGAAGCGAGTCTACACATAAGCGATTCGGTCTGAACCTTTAACCTTACTAGGACAACTACAAAAAGTCGTGTTAAGAGCGGCTGAATATAGTAACTAGGAAGTCGAAGCTCGAGTTAGCAATTGCCCAGTTCAAATTACACATTATAAAAAAAAAAAAGACACAAATCATGTGGATTATACAAGCACTGTGATAGCTTCGAACTTTAGACACGTGAGACCTTGATTGTGTAATTGTTTCGGGCAGAAATAGGCGACACTCTGGACGATATGACTATTAAAAGCAATCAGATGCAATTTCTTGCAACGACCAGAAACTGTCCTGAACATGTTCTCCACGTTCGTACTATTTAAGACATTGCTATTATTCGTCGTAAATTACTCTAGCATTTACGGAGTGTTGTGAATAAGGACATTCAGAGGAACCTAACTAGGCTGCGGATCTTATGAGTTTGTAGAGTGTTTTTAAAAGCGTTAAAAAACGCTGGAGTAATGAGTTTAATCGAAATTAATAAATTTATTATTATAGTTTTAATCTAACAAACCAATCGATGAAATAAATTTCGTTGAATTGGATCTTTGGAAGGTTCTATTTGTGAAAATTTATCGCCAATCATTAAACAAAAATTTGATGTTACAACGGAATCGTATTCGTATCTTCGCTTGCCATTAGAGGCTTAAAAATAGCAACCACAATAACAAACGTGAGCAAACAGCAACTTAAACGAACAAAACACAACGCTTTCTTATGTAATTCCATTGGAATAGTACAGCAACAAAGAATCGCAGACGAAACTTGAATAATTCATCGTGCTTTTTACACAGGATGCACGCACGTCACATAATCACAATTCCGCCATTTATATACATATTCCCGGCTCTTCGAAAACAAGTCATGATCCTAAGCCGTTAAGGTGACCAATTCCCATACATACGACGTTTTTCTGATAAACAAATGTTGGCACGTGCGTACCGATCACATGAACCATTCGTACAAAGTATCCAGTTTCGAATAATTAATTCTAGTAAAACATAGATGAAAATTCACATGATTACCATGTACATAAAAAATTTAAGAGTAATTTTTATTTTTCTGAGTACATAACTGTATGTATGTATGTACATAATGGAAAAATGGAGAAATAGATACACATCGCAACGGAATTAAAGATGAGCAGTGGCCTGATCAATTTGATGAAATTCGCAAACATTGCGATGGGTGTTCCGTAAACTGAACGCCCAGAAAATAAATATTGTCGTTATCTACTTATGTGATTGCTACATCATAAAGATAATGTAACTTAAAAATACACAGTAATAAGTTACTTATTTTATCTCTTCTTTCGTGAAACTACACAGAATATACTTTACATAATTTACAATTCTACCATCATTACTGTTTCATATGTTGTATTATTGTTAGAATATACTGTACTGCTACATGTATGATAATTTTTAAACAAGATTTTACAAAATGTTCATTCTTACACAACAACGTTAATTTATATCTATATTTCCCATGTCGACAGTGTCGAAAAGAGAAAAAAAATTCATGTTAGAATTAAATTGGTAGTAATGCTGATAAGGTACTTTGTACTGAAAGAGCTTTTACCCTGACCTAGATAACATTCAAGATATGAAGAACCAATATTACTCATCATTCATGGCGGTCCAGTAAATTTCCAACGAGATACGTATCTCACGATATCCATACTTGAAAAGTCTAATTTGTTGTCTAAGATTTATTTATTAACATTTATAGACATTTCTGACGTATTTTCATCCCCCTTCGGCATCCCTCTATTTTCAATATCCCTATAAAAATCCATCGCACAAGTCTCAAAATATCCAACCACCCAAAACGGAGTAATGTAAACAAACATTGAATTACTGTATGTACATCACAATGTATATCACAATTACCGGACACGTGATCCATAGGTTTTTCCAATCCATGCATCGTGTAAGCCCAGCGATTGTTGTCGACCGGCGCTACAAGAAACATTCTCCACTTAACAGATGCCGAAATAGCTGCGTTGCAGTGAAATGTTCGCCCGAATCTACCGGCTTGTCCAAGGCCAATCACAATCGAACTTGAAAAGAGCACAGGTATCCAGAGGTTGGTTATAGATCGGATAAAGTATCGATCGGAAAAGTTCAACAAAAATAGATTTTGTCTTATTCGTAAATTAACGACACGCACGGAGGCTCGTTGGAGCTATCACGAGATCACCTCTGGTAGGTAACACAAGGTAAAATTGTTACAGGTACTCCGAAGTCGCGAATACTGCCTCCTGAAGCGAACCGAGAGACCGAGTCAAGACAGCAGGTACGACTAAACGCGGCACACAGCACCGTGCCACGGACTGCTGAACTCTCTCTCACTCTTTCGTCCGTCTCTCTTCGACTATCGCTCTCTTTCACTTGCTCATTCCGAGTCGCTTCCATAGTCTGATAATATCACTGTCTTTGTTTTTTAATCGCGCTCTCGCTCTGTCTCCCCTTTGCACGTTCGATTCGGGATTACGATACACTGATGCGGTCTTTCTCTTTCACTCGTCGTACCAGGCATCGTTTTTTTACATTCGCACACTCTGTACAGGATTTCCACGTTCGTATATGTATTCATTTTTTTTTTTCGTTTTTTCTTTCTACTCGAAGTTTATACTCTTATGGTAGAGTACATGGGCGTAGCCAGATTATCAGTCATGGGGGGGGGGGCGAAAATATTAACACACCACTGCCACAGTGAAAAAGGCTGTACGTAGCCAGACACTTTATTTTGTTTTTTTGTAGATCCGTTTTTTACTTTTTCGTACCGCGTTTCGTGTGTTTGGATCGAATCATGAAAGGATATAATCGAACGCTACAGTGCGAGAAAAACATACCAGGTTTATGTGGGTATGTGTGTATGAAAAAAATAATGCCTTGAATGTATTCTTTAGGTAAAAAATAGTGCTTAAAAAATAACAACTTCAATTGGTATTGTTTTATTTTGTATTGCCGACGGCGAATTTAGCTTCTGGTAGAAAAATAGAAAATAAGGGAGACTATTTCGAGCAACAAATGTTACAGCAATTCATTAATATTCATGACGATTTTCAATGTTAGAACAGCCAGTTCTTTTCAACAGACCTATATGTATATACCGACCACGCAAATAAAACAAAGAAAGAGATATGTATCATACATAAAAATTCGAGTATGAGCAAGAAAGTTCAAGGAAGCGCAAAAACGTGTATTTGCTTAAATGGAATAAAAAAGAACGGTGCATAAATAAACTACTCCAAAAGAAGAAAATGCATTTGGTTTATGTACAGTATCAGAAGAAAGTATCTACACACCGATGACTTTTACTTTTTCTCAGTATAGTACCAAAATATGAAATTCAGGATCGTCGAACGTTAAATGACAGTCACTAGTAACCGTCACGGCGGTGAATTTGTTGAACGTTATTACCATCCGGCTTTATATTATTAAAAATTTAAATTGTTGTAATACAATCGGAAGTGAATGACTTTTAACCTAGTATCATAATGATAATAGTGTTACCAGCTGGTAGTAGGAGTCACTGGACTGCACGAATACATACTTCCTCCCTCCTCCTGTATGCGTATAAATACATGGTACCACGTAAAAAAAAGAAGAATGATAGACGACGATTCAAGAATGTGCAAAAATCCTCCAACAAATACGTATTTCTTCGTTCATCTCACACCAGCGGTATCGATTCTTTCTTTCATTCAGACGCTCGTCTTTCATTCTCCCCCAATGTGCTGTCTCTTTTTCTCTCGTGGAAATGACTATACTTAAAATGTTCTGTCCTCCTTTCCCTCTATCTCTCTTGTTTAGTGTTCACATGTAATCCCCCTCCCGTATCTGTGCCCCCCCCCACCACATGGGACTTGTTTAATCGATGGTCTCGTATTTCCCTCCTTCTCCTTTCAATTCCGCCTCCACGTCAAAGCGCAGATTCTCCGTTGCCCGCGGTCCCTGGATTTTACTCGTTTATTCGCGGGGCGCTCGCGGGGCCCCACTATCGGGGTAGGGTCACCTTATTCGGCCGAGGAAAAAACGACGTTCTATCACTCGATGAGCACGTGCTCGTCCACCCCCCACCACTTCCCCTACCCAGGCTGCACACTCGACTTACGGAACGTGTTTCAGGTTATCGTCGACTATATTCTTCGTCGTACGATATTTTTGTTTTAAGAACAGCTGCGCCGTGAAATTTTTTGGTCTGTGAGGATGGAGGCGTGTGATTGGAGCCTGTTAAATGGACAATTCTTGGTTTAGCCCTCTACAGACCCAAAACCGTGCATTTATTGAATATCTACAGTATTTGCTCATTACACAGGAATAACGTATTTTATATATTTCATGAATGTTAACCTTTCGTAAGCAAATATATTTTTTCACACTCCGTGGGCCAACTGTCTCGTTTATGTCAAAACCTGATGGTTTTATTGTTTTAAGTTTTAAAAAAGTCTGGAAAAATTCCGAGATATTCCGTTAATAAAAATGAAGGTGACCTTGAAATCTCTGAAATACCTCCACAAAAAAATGGGTACCTTGTAAGATGTTCCCTTTGATACCATTTAAATTCCACGCCTCAATATTTTCGTAAAGTGTACCGTTAAGTCATTATTCGACGTGACCAAGTTAGCTGAGACACCCTGTATATCCCAGTGCTTTTCCACTGCTTTCACATTATGATATTTCTGACCTGCGCAGTACTAATTCATAGGAGAGTATGAAACAGGAACGCGCAAACTCTATGTTAAATCAATCATAAGGTAGCAATTCTGTGTAATAAATAATTCAATCGCGGAAATCAATGAAAGTTGACATTTCGCTCTTTATTATTGATTGAGGCGTTCGGTAATAAAGATTCGCAACATTTATTCGACTTTATTACAAGCAAAAATATTTTGTATACTTTCGTACTTAAAGTATATTTTTGCTTATATAAGTCACATAGTATTAAATTACGAAAGCTCCAAATTTTTGAATAAATGAATGCACACTCACTCCAAGATTTTTAATAAAGTAATAAGATAGTTTTTTGCGAATCTTAAAAAAGAACAAATTTTTCGAGGTTTATAATTAGCAAAATGAAAAATTTTCTAATAGGAACATAGTGACTCCCTGTGATGAAACAAGCACAGCTTCGTTCACATAATAAATTCAAAACCAATCTCGTAACATCGGCAAAAGGAGCCAGTTGAATAAACTTCAACTGCGTCAACAAAAGATAACAACATAGACATTCAAACTTATTCCATAGTATATCCGAAATTAATCCACATCTTGGTATCTATTTTAAAACAAAGGTATTTCTGGTACAAACGTAATCTCCGAATGGAAGGCTTTTCTTGTACACTTGATTCTCAACACGTGGCGTTTGCTGATTCAAGATATAAGATATTTTAGAATTTTACAGACGAACGAGAAAAAACACAAAAAAATTCGAAAAGTTCCACGACAAAAACAATTGTAAATTTGAATAAGCTATATGTCTTCTGTTTCTCAAAAAAGTAACAATTTCCAAAATTTAAATATCATTGTACTAAAAAATATTTCGCGAAACTTATTGTTGGAAATGTACACAATATTTAAAGAATAATTAATGCAGTATAAAATGATAAAATGTGTATGCACGGATATCACTTTAAGGGATATAAAATTATTAATTTAATATAATTTATTATAAAGGTATATGTAATTTAAACTATTGTTTACATTAAACACAGAAACTTTAACATTTACAAGTAGAATATTTTTTTAAAGATATGTAGGAAGCCTCAAGACTTCAACGACCTCGAAACTTCATTATGTAGTAGTTGCAAAAATTTACATTCTTTAGTGTATTTGCGAAGATATACCAATTTTCGTTCTCTGGTTGATATTGTGATTTTCGATAATTCGTTAAGACGATGTCAACCATAATTATATAACACAATTTATTTATACTTTTTCGATATTTCGATTTTCTTGTATATCTAACACCTATTTAATTATAAATGTAAATGTCTACATTAAAAACACTGAATAAAGCAGATGTTTCTGCAAATAAAAATGTCAGTTTGCTACTACTCATTATTTTATAAATTCTATTTGTCGTTAGATTCTAATAGAAATTAATTCATATTTTTTGTCACCGTCATCTTCTATTATATTATTTACCATGTCTTATACTAGGAATAAAAAAAAATGAATTACGATGAGACGATCAAACGTTGAAGCAGCAATAATATTATTGTATCAATAATTAATTACTGCGATATCTCCACATACTGAATTTCTTTTAACTCAATACATTTTCTTATTTATCGCTTAGTAATATTTCCATATTCATAACAATGTCTAATAGCTTTTGAAATCAGAGATGTTTACGTTCCCATAAAATGTTGAAGGTGACACCTATGCATTTGTAATCACTCTGCGACATTTCCAAATTCGTTTCAACCAAAAAAAAGTCTCCATCAGAAACTTTCATATCTCCAGACATTATTAATTAATAGTTAATCATAGTTAATAATTAAGTATTTGTTAAATATAATCTCGACATTTTTTAATACGAATACGTAATACTCTAAATAGTATATTTGCATCCTTAACATTTACGTTAGAAATTAAATTGTTTCACACGAATACTTTCTAACTGCTAAAAACTTGTTCAACTGTAATAAGCCATGCATCTACGATCTATTCTCCGCGACATTATGTATAACCTAATTTACTACAGCGCCTACGCCAATGGATGTTAACAGTCTTACCTAAGTACGATTTTTTGAAGCGTTCGATCCGCAGATTTTCATAAAAGAAGTTGAACTCGATCATGCCCATTTTTCCGTCGAAAAATCACCTACTCGGACTGCTGGAACCCTATGTCAATGGGTCCAACTTTTCGAAAAATCGAGAACGGAAACCGTTGTTCGGGGGTTCGATAACGCTTTTCCGTAGCGTCTCAAAGACTCGCGGACACTTTTAACGTGATTCGGT